GGTCAAACGCCAAGGTCAAAGACAAAGGGACAGATTTGGTGGTACCCAAAGAAAGGTCTTGTCACAAGGATGAACTATGTAAAGTATGAATGCACTAACCCTAATCCTTTTAAAGTTACAGTCAAGGTTTGCTTTTTAAAAGTGGGTCAAACTCCAAGGCCAAGGTCAAAGGGTCAAAGTTCTTGGTATCCTATGAATGGTCTTCTCAAAATGATTACATATATGTAAGTATGAAAGCACTATTCCTTACTGCTCAAAAGTTATGGCCAAGGTTAAAGTTTTTTTTACAAGGATGGAAATCTCCAAGGTCAAGGTCAATAGTTGTTGGTATTCAATGAAAATTCTTTTAACAAAAAATATATATTTGAAGTATAAATGTCCTGGTATTTACTGTTCAAAAGATTTGGATAAAGAATAAGTTTGGATTTTTTGTGTATAAGTGAGTCAAACTTCAAGGTCAAGGTCAAATTTGGTGATACTCAAAGAAAGGTCTTGTCACAAGGAATACACGTGTGAAATATGAAAGTCATAGCTCCGCTAAATCAAAAGTTATGGGCAAGGTTAAAGTTTCTGTGGATAAACAAACAAACAGAGAGACAGCTAGACAGACAGTAATGGCACATGACAAAAACTTATATACGCCCGAAACTTCGTTTACGGGGGCATTAAAATATTAATTATATAGTAAATAGTGGTAAAATGTAAGTAAAGACCAAGTAATGTTATTACTTATATACACAAATTTAAGTAAATATAAATTACTAAGTAAAACTTTTTAGTGTGTAAGTAAAACAATTCTTTAAAATACAAAAATCAAGTAAAACATTTGAATCTAGTAATTGACATATATTTCAGTAATTGATTTAAAATTTTAAGTAAATGCTTAGTAATTATCTATTACTTATCTTTGTTATTTCAAGTAAAAAATGACTACTAAGTATAACATTTTTAAGAGTGTAGGAGTTTAATAATAATTCTATGAACTACTATTGAATAAGTTGAGATTATTAGAGAGTAAATTCAATAATGGACATATTTTTGCCTAATTACGGCTGTTTTCAAGGTAATTAAACCACAAAACAATAATAATTTGACTTTGTTGAAATTTTGAGGAAATTTAAAAGTTTGAATAAAACACTTAAAAAGAGAGCTCCGTGAAGACAGAAAATGAAATTTTTTCAAGAAAATTAGCAATGAAAGTAAAGTTGTGTTTTACATAAATGAAATAAATGAAGATAACTAACAGTAGTTAACAAAGTCCATTCAAATAATACAAATCATGAGCAGAGCAAACACGGACACCTCCGAAACATCAGAGGTGGGATCAGGTGTCATGGATGAATGAGTACCCCTTTGAGACATTATTATAAAATAATGTGTATATATATATTTTTTTACATTTTTCAAAATCAAAATGAAGAGCTATAAATTATATTTCCCCATAGTTTTCGAAATGCCTCATGTTTATTCTCTAATTTCAGATTTCACGGCAGCATTTGATTAAGCTTCAGTTTCAATGCCAGTGATATCCTCGAAACGGCTTGAAATGACAAAATCATTTTCACTAATTTTTTTTCTGTTACGGAACATTATAACATTATTTGAAGTCAATCTGCGATTCAATTATTCATGAAAGATTAAGGATAATTTTGAATGAAATTTTTAATGTCGATTTGGAGAAACAAATGTAAAATGTTTACACCTATATATTTTGATATGTATACCGTATAAGTGGAAATTTTAGAGAGACGCAAATTTAGCGATTTATCCTTAAAAAGTGGTATTTCATTTTTAGCGATAAGTAGTTTTAGCGATTACAACATGCTCACTTAAGAAGCTATTACAAATTGAACGCAATTAATTTTTAGCGATATTCAATTTTAGCGAATTCAGCACTATCGCTTAAAATGCCAAAATTAAATTCTTGCTAAAATTTCCACTTATACGGTATATATTAATTGTTGACATTTATGCAAATGTTGGCTATGAACTCATAATCTGGTAACTTGATCAATATAAAGGACTCAAAACGACTGTGACGGACTGTCGTGATGCTTACTTCCCCTAAACATTCCCCACATTCTCTGTTTTTTTCAGAGATGTGTTTTTCTAGATCTCTACCAGCTACTTGTTCTACTCACAGGTTCTACGAATTTAACCACTGTCTTCATTCTCACCTTTTCAATACGTGCATAAAAATTAAATATATTATGGTTAAAATGAAGGCATTGTTACAACGCACTTTGAAAAATTACGCACTTTGAAAAAAATTTTCAAAGTGCGTTAAAATTTGGGACCAAGCTAACGCACTTTGAAAAAAATATTTTTTTTTCAAAGTGTGTTAATATCGACCATATTAACGCACTTTGAAAATGTAAAGATTGATCAATATTCCTTCAAATAATCGGTATGATAAATAACAGATCCCGATTTGATAACTTTTTATGATAAATTCCCTGTATATAGGACCTGAGATATTGAAGCTTTAAGGTTTTGATAAAATAAAGGAAAATAAAAGGGTCTTGAAAAAAAGAGTGACGATTGTTTCTGATAAGTAGATATAAAGGTATATAGGGGTACTAACAGAGGACAGCTTCATAAAATTCATTGATAAAAAGGGGCAACTTGATTGTTCAAAACTATGAAAATTCTTTCTCTCTCAAACGTTTAACTGTACTTTAAAATTTCTAGTTTTCATCTGTTTTAATTAAGTCATTTTTTATTGAAAGTTTTCAACGTCATACAAGTTAGGTAAATACATAATTATATGAATGCTTTGGTTATAGCATAGACATCGAGACTGGGCGAAGGGCCATTGGGGGATGGGGGGGGGGGGGGCAAAGCCCCCCACTTATTTTGGAAAGATATATACAACGTATAAGCATTGAAAATGCAGCTTTCCTTTTTTGGGTTTATTGCTCCCCTTCCCCGTTTGTTACCGACACCTATGTAGTGGGAAAGATAACGATTTGGACATAGGGATCTTATACCCGTCTTCTCTTTTCGACGGAGTAAATCAATTCATTTTTGAGGTTAGGCTTAGGCTTAGTTTTTTTTTGAAAGATAAAAAACAAATAAAATCTTTTCATGACTAAAATATCATTTTTTTTTTCAAAGTGCGTTAAGTGTCTCCATGGTAAAATATAGTGATGTAGACTCTTAACGCACTTTGAAAAAATTTTTCAAAGTGCGTTGAGTTGGCTTTGGTCCCAAATTTTACGCACTTTGAAAAATTTTTTCAAAGTGTGTAATTTTTTCAAAGTGCGTTGCCACAAGGCATATTGTGTAAATGCTCCATTCGAAAATGTTGTACTCAGAATTTTATTTTGCTCTAGGAAATGTGCTACAAAATTTTGGCCATAGCATTGTGCTTCCCAGAATATATTGTGCCACTGCCTTATACATTTTTTTTAGGTATCACCCAAAAGAACCAAGACTTTGAATTCTAATGCTGATGCGAGCACTTAAAAGGGAGATTCACCTCTTTATAATAATTACGCGTCTCAAATTGGACTGGGATATCACAATGCTGATGTGTACTCCTATCAAATAAAAGATCTTTGCTATCAGTCACCATGGTGAAGCAATTTGAAAATGATTTTTGTGATTGAAAATACAAAGTATAATTTAGTACCAGATTTACCAAGAATGACCTCTCTAGTTTCTCCGACGAAATTGGACACGCTAATTTGAAATCGTTGACCCCGTTTATTGCTATATCCATGAACAATCAGAACTGGATGTGGTAAGGAAACAGTTGAACCCCTGTAAGTAGACTCGTGAATATCAATTGGTTGAAAATCGTTCTTCTTCGGACTGCTGAATTCTCCATTCAGCTTTTATAGCCTCCGGAATAGATGCAATTGTAGCTTTACACACTAAGATGTCATTTTTTTCATCCCTTTCTGGTCTACCCATCTGAACCGTAGGCTTGCCTATAATAAAAATACATTGCCAATTAATACATCTTCTGTCAGAATTCCCATGGGTACCAACTGCATTCCAAAGAGTCTATTATATTTGGATATTTAATAAGAAAAAACATTAATGTTTATCTAATAGAACAATTTTATGATTAACCTGTGGACAACTTTCCCGATTTCAACTTTCCTTAATCATATACCAAATATTTTAGGAAAAAGAGCACCAAAGACGCTGATTTTAACATCATTTCCTGGTTAAAAAGATGAAGCAGAGTAATAAATGGGTAGGCTTTACCTGATTGGCTGAATTCAGGTATGTATTTTTTTCATTTTAAAGTAAACATATTAATGTTTGAAATAAATGATGGAATGTGGGAATATTACAGAAAATATAGAAATACCAGGGGAGATTGTAGGAGTGGGGATTGATATTTTTGGCAGGGTGTCATTTACGCTGATCGCTGTAAGTTCTAAATAACTGCAAATTTGACCTATAAACGCCGCGGCATGGTATATTTTTTCCCGTGTTTTTAGTAAGTGCTTAGAACGAACTTTCAAATGATATCATAGATTTGTTTGAACGAGAATTAGTAAATTACTTGGAGGGCATAAGGTTTGTATAGAGTTCTATGGGAAATTAATTGGTACTCTTTTCCCATCATTATCACCTACATATAGAGTTTATGTCTCCCAGTTGATTCGATATGGTCTACTCACGAACAATTTCTAAAACGAGGCAAGTTACTCACAGAACAAGGATATTAACAGTCTTGTTAAAAGCCAAATTTTCGCAATGTCCTTGTCGGCATGCACAATCTATATTATTAGGTCGAATATCGACTGTTGTTTTCAAACAAATTGTTATGCCATTATTTTATATAATTCAATATCATTTGTATGGTGGCATATTTCTGCCACCTACATGCAAGATAAATTATGTCAACATGCAAGATAAATTATGTCAACATGCAAGATAATCATGTCAACATACAAGATGCAAGATAATTATGTCAACATACAAGATACCACTGTTTTAAGAGAATCTGTATTTCATATGGGTAAAATACGATTCTGACGCTTATATCTAATATTGTAGATACAAGATGCAACATAATTATGTAGACATGCGACTTATTTTTGTTATCATGCGACGAATTTATGTCAACATGCAAAATACTACATGTAGTATTTATGTTAAAACTCATCTAATTTATGCAAACATGCGAGTTTTTTTAACAAGCAAAATACTTATGTCAACATGCAGAATAATAATAGCTGACATAGTGATCTTGCATGTTGACACAAGTAAGTTGCATGTTGACGTAACTATCTTGTATGTTGTTATGAATAACGCTGTCTACATAACTAAGTTGCGTCTTGCATCTACGATGCCAGATACGGGCGTTATAAGTAAATTTACTCATGTATAAATTATATTTTAAATAAGATCGGTAACTTGCATGTCAACATAATTAACTTGCATGTTGACATAAATATGTTGCATGTTTACATAATTATGTTGCATGTAAACATAATTTATCTTGCATGTAGGTGCAGATATATGCCACCATACATTTGTATTTAAACAATTCTTTTTATCAAAAGAATGGAAAGGCATATTACATTATGACAATAAGTTCTTGAAAACGTGGGTTGGTTGAAATCAGGTTAATTCTATGAATTCAAAATTTTCAGAATTCCAGTGAACGTTCGTCTGCTTTTTACAGAGCTGGAATTACCGATGTTGCAAAATTGTATTTCACTTAATTTAGATTTGTACATTTTTTTTTAATTTTGCAATCATAATCATTTCAAAATTTACATAAACGCTTGTTGCAGACAACTAGCTCTATGTGACAGAACCTTTAGTCAGACATACTTGAGGACTACAGGTCAATGCATTGTAGAAATCTCGGATTTACGTTGATAAAAGATACGTAATAGATGTTTTTATAGTAGGTGTTTTCATCAATTTCCTTAATCTTATCTACCTTCCAAATGACTCTGTGACCCGGCTGCATTTGAAACACGGCATTGATATTCCCCACTGTCGTTCCAGTTCACTCTATGAACTACTAGTGAAGGATCAGCAATGCTACCTCCGGCATATTTTCCCCCACTTGCTGATATGTCAATGTACTGTTTGTCTTTTATCCAAATGATCTCTGTAACCTTTGGGTTATTATCCGAAAGAGAGAATTTGCAAACAAATGTGACGCTACGATCTGCAATATTAGTTTCAAGGGTTGCGAACACAGAAGGAATATCTGTAATTAAAAATGACCCTTTTCAGGTTATATTAAAAACATGAAATTATGATATAATTTTCGAAAAAAATAGATCAATTTTTTTTAACTCTTTCTGGATCTTAAACTTTGGGCAGATGAAATCGTCTGCAGTAATTGTTACAATAATATAACAGTAATATTTACTCGAAGTTAATGGCATAAAGTGGTATTCATGATCATGGAAAGACAAAATAATATTTAAAATAACTATTTATTGTGTATCAAAGGGAAACCTTTTTGAATGATTCTCATACATATTTATATTACATACCACCAACTACTTTCAGCAAAACTGCATTGCTTGTAGACTTCCCAAATCCATTTGTGACTTCTAGTCGGTAATGCAAATTGTCAATATAGGATGCATTTGAAATGACTAGAATAGGTTTCTCTGGATCCATACTGCTTCCGAAATATCTAGCATCATCCATGTCTATGGTCAGAAAATTCTCAGGAGCTTGAGTTTGGCTTTTTAGCCAAAGTGCTTTCTCCGGTGAAGGACATGACGTTATGTCAGGAATAATAGTAGCTTGACCACCCAGTGGAACTGTCAGTTCTTTGCAAATCACTACAGATGGGATAGCTAAAAGGAATATATTAATATATTTATAAATGCATTCATATGGCAAATTAGTATGCTGTTAAATATACCTAAAAACAATTATGCAGACTTTAAAAAATTAATGAAAATAAACTTTAGTAAAAATAGGCGGAGCTTATAATGATACGTCCTTTTAAGATAAGAAACATTTGATATGGCATACAATATATTCAAAATTGAAAGAACTGATTTGCAATACCTAGAACTATTCGCTTCATATCTGATCCCACTGCATTGAAAACTCTACATGTGTATTCACCGCTGTCGTTCTCTGACGGAGACAGAATTTTCAGATACCTGTCCGAAACACCACCGCCCTGGTACTTAATTGCATCCATCGACAATGGTTCTCCATCTTTGGTCCACATAATTTTTTTAATCACAGGACGTGTCTCTTCAATATCATAAAGAATAGTGACACCATCAATTCCCGAGGTGGCCTGGTTTATCTCTAGATTAGGATGATCTGAAAATAAAATGTTTTATCTTATATTCTTTTAATATTTGTTTAGTTTATATACTGAAAGGAAAAAGAAACGCATAATTAACTTTTGAATAAAATTAAAACTTTTATTTCCAATATGATTTCTAGTTTTGTTATCAAACAATTTAATCCAACTTTAAACAACAAGTAACCGAAATCTTGTGTGACTTTGACTGATAATTCCTGAATTATTGAAATTGATATGTCGATACCCCCCAAAATTAAAATAAAAATTCTCATAATCTCCCTTGCGCATCAGTAAAAGCCTTGATTTTCTTGTGCATTGAGTTCATCAGAGCATTTATCTTTCTCATAGAATTATCATTCAAGCCTTCCGACGATAGTTTTAATGGTTGAGAGTAGCTGTGTTGTTCCAAAGCCAACAAATCCCCCCGCCCAATGAATCCCACGAATTTTCGATCAAGGATAGAATTTACAGAATCTAGCTGATTTGGAACACGTGAATGTTTGTAAGGAAGTCTCGACAAACACTGGTTACATTTTCTTAAGTATAAGTCACATTATCCAACGATGGGATATACGATGAGAAACCGATGTGTTTTTTGATGAAAATGGCGTGGTTGCTGGCCGGGCACCACTAGTGATCGGACGGTGACTGAGTCTTTTTTTGCGAATCGGTGTGGTCATCGGTAGGAAATAATTCGTAGTTAAAATTCAGCGATGTCTCCAACGATGCCTCACATCGCTTCTCATCGGCAACACATCATTAACACATCTTTCAAGGATCGGCCGATGTATGACCGAGCATCGTCCAATATCCGTTGAATCTGAGGTCATCGGGGAGTTTAGTGGTGTTCAACAGATAATGACCGATCATCGATCGATGTTTGAGCAAACATTGGCCTGTAGTCGACCGATGTACGAACAATGTTCACCAATGTATGAGCGATGTAATATACATCGGCCAATCATCCTGGAACATCGTTTTATGATTAGCAATGCATCGCTGGGCCTTTGTAGGTCCGGCCGGCAACCACGCCATTTTTCTCATAAAACGCATTGGTTGTCCATCGTATGCCCCATCGCTGGATATTGTGACTGATACATTAAGGACTACTTGGCCGATGTGGACCGATGTTGGGGCATCGTTAACACTACGGATTACTACCGATTACCACCGGTCTACGGCTACCGGCCGGGAAATGTGACCTAGGCATTAGCGTGAACATGCTAAAAACATTACGCATCATGCGCGTATGTGCGCGTGTGAGAGTAAAATCGACGTAAAAGTTGCCAAGCTTGCGTACCAAATTAGAGCAGAGAATTTCTGTCAGTATTAGGGTGAAAATATGAGTCTGACTGTCTGCTGTAAAAATATCGGTGTCAGTGATTGACTTGACAATAACCGAGGTAGCATGATGAAAAGCCCTATCTTGATGTGACGTTGTTACGCGCCAACTTCACCGTCATGGTTGGTCGGAAACCTTTTACGTTACTCTCTGACAACCGAAAAAACTTTTTTGGTTGAAAATTTAAAAACAAACTGCACAGCAACATGTTGTTGCCTTTTTATTCACTTATGGAACTCAATTAGTAGACCCTGTGTAACTTCTGTCAGCCATACCATAATTGCAAGAAATTTATACTGACTGCAAATATCGGAAAACGATGTTTGTAACTCTAATGCATTGATTGGCACTACAAAATGGGATCACAAAAATGTCATCATCAACATGCACGTGTATTTGGCTTTTTATCACTTCCAATACGCGACGCCATACATTTCATGGTTGAGTAATTTTGACCAGCGATTTTAGTGCACAGTAACCAAATTACACATCTGACCAATTTTCATAATTTTCGGCCACATAGTTAAATATTTTTCGATATAATGCTATTATGCGTTTCTTTTTCCTTTCAGTATACATATAGTTTTTGGTAGATGCAACTATAAATAAGATAACGTTTTCTTTGGCATACATGTAGCAAGAGAGAACCAAAGTTAACATTGATAATTAGTCGACAAAGAGATTTTTATGTCTGGTATAATTGACAGAAAAGCTTTTTTTTTATCTTTGTAAAAACGGGATTCATTTGTCAAAATGATAGTCAAATGTAAGACTTTAATTGGATTATGCAATTCCATGTACAGTAAATTGTAAAAGAAAGTGTATTATGCTAGTACCTCCAAGAGCATTTAGGAAAAGTGTGTTACTTGGTACATTTATATGGCTTCCATTAAGTTCTCGTGATATCACTGCACGATATTCTCCTTCATCTTCTTTTACAACTCTCCGTATAACTAGTCGTCTACTGGTGCTGCCCTCATATTTCTTTGCACTTTTGTCTATAGTCTCTGTTACACTTCCCCTTACTCTCTCCCACACAATCGGCCATTTATTGCTTTTAGGGCAATTATCTGTCTTGGCTTCAAAGCATGTTTCTTCTCCACAAAAAACATCGCAATATCCCGTCATTGTTATCGCTGGAACATCTGAATAATAAAAGATCAAAGAAAGGTATGTTCTGAGTATGAAAACAATCGAAAGATGATTTCTGTGTAACTAACCTATGTTTTGTGACAATCTCCACATAAACATCGTTTCCTCCAAAAAGAGTCTGTATTTGTCCATATCTTTGCAACTCAAATCAAGATTTTCAATATCTTTGAGTTGCTCATCATAGTTAGCGCCATATCCAAGTGAGTCCAAAAAACTCTGTGCTCTGCGAACGCATCCCTTTAGCTCTTTCCAGCATTGTGAGAATATGCCATCTGGGACCTCTGATGATTCCAAATGTGCAAACATATTGTTCCTAAATATTCTAAGTCGTTCAATGTCATCTCCGATTTGCAAATCACTTGTTTTCGGTGTATTTCCCCAACCTGTTGTTGGTTTAAATGTTAGGCACAAATTTCTCATCAGTTTATAGAACAGCGAAACATCGAATTTACCATAGTCAGGAACTTGAGGCGGAGATATGCAACATATTTTAAGCTGGTATTGGTTTAGTTTGTCCTTACCATTTGTCAGTTTTGAACATGATTTTATGGCATTATAGAGATCTTTTGGTGATATTTGACTGTCAAGGCAATCGTTAAACACCTGATTTATCACTTCGACACATGCTATAGCTAGTTGAGTAAAATTCTGTTGTCCTTTTGATAGAGGTTTGGATGCCATAATTATCTTCTACCGAGTTCTGAATCCTTTTTTGAAAATATCATCAATAGGCTCTGATTGATGATAGAAAAATAAAAAAAAGAACATGCAAAATTATTTACATACCAACAAAATTACATAAATGGTCCTTTGAGTTTTAAACCTTCGAAAATATCATGGAATGGCAAATAATTTCATTATAATTTAAAATAAATTAAAACTCAAAAGACATTATTACGATGACAAGGCATCAATAAGATAATTAGTCTGAAAATATGGAACAACTCTGAAAGTTACCTTTGTATGCCAGTGCTAAATACACTCCATCAGTAGCACAAAACAATGCTTAAGTATAAAACGTGTTTTTATCCTGGCTGATGGCCTATTATTTACAAACTAAATTGGGTGGTTATCAAAATAAATACCGCGCAGTGTATGTGTAGCTGGAAATTATACTAGTTACTAGCAGTTTTTTAAAAATAACTTTTATTATTCAGCATCTACGCTATTTTTATTCATCTTGAGTAAAATTACAGTATGAAAAGAAGATTATATAACAGAATTCTTCTTTTGTTATCAACTCCCCTCAATTTGTTAGGTTTCATTTCTTTTTTACCTGGATTGCTATTCTTTGTTTTCATATTTCAGCAAATTGAGATAAAACAACATGTGTTTGTGAAACACTATGCACCCGGCAGCAACATGTTTAAAAACCCCGTATTTTTAGCAGAAAAATCAAACTCAAGATCAAAAGGTCATTGACCTTGGTGTCATTCGAAAGAATTTCATTGGTGGAGTGAGCATATCAAATATGAAGTCTCTATCTCTCGTGGATCAAAAATTATGGCGAAAGTTCGAAAAATCTATTTTTAGCTTATAGGTCACAGTCAAGGTCACAAGGTCATTGACCTTGTTGTCATTTGAAATAGCTTCATTGGTGGAGTGTGCATTTCAAATATGAAGTCTCTATCTTTCATGGTCAAAAGTTATGGCGAAAGTTTGAACAATCTATTTTTAGTATATAACTATGATGGACTTCAGTGCACGGTCAGTATGTGCTTATAAGGACTCATGGCAATATTGATATTAACTTCAGACACAGACACAGTAAATGATAGCCACCAAGCCTGCAACACTTTCTGTGTCTTCGGTCAATATCAATATTGCCGTGAGTCCTTCTAACCACATATCGATCTACACTGAAGTCCATAATTGCAGCCCGCACGACCGGGCTGTTGTATACATGTTAGTTTACGTGTTGGTATATAGGGATTTAGGTGGGAGAAGTTATTTAGAATTAAAGGTTTTCTAAACATTAAGAAGATTGTTAATCAGAATGTTCTTTCCCTTTATAAATTACGAGATACATAATATATTTACTTCCATAAAGTGAATTTGTAAAAAATAATATGTTTTTGATATTTAAAATATAAAGTTGCTTATCATTTACTATTAAAAAAAAACGACAGGTCCCCCTTTTTTTAGAACATCGAATTTTTCTTAACGCATAAAAACGTACTTTACACAGTTCATGTTTTATATTCATAAAGTGAAATACATTTTTGAAAATAGGTGATGCATGATATGGAGATAACGAACAGTATGTGTCTAGTTTCAATTAATATTTTATGCAGCTTTACTTGCTTGAGAAATTGATAAAATTTAAAAGGGTATCGTTTTTGTTCGATTTTCATCCGACTATAAGTTTTCAAAATATTCTTGATGATTGTCTCCACCATTTAGACGCATGCATTTTTCACACATCGAAGCGGATTGATAATCAAGATTCATGTCCATTGTTTTCTTTATTTATTTCCCAGGCGACAATTGATGTTTACATCAACGTTTCCTTGTTAATTACAGTAGTCAGGGTTTGACACATCGGCTCGTGCAGCGTATGTCACACTCTAACTACTATTTAGGCATAGTGCACACAAAACACAGCACTATTGTTTTATTATGCTGACTGTTGTATAAAAATGACAATATTTTTTCCATTTCCAATGTTTCATCATCTCTCACATTCATGTAAGTACAACCCTATTGGAACATTTGCGGAATAGCGTACAGCGAAAAGCGGACTTCGGACTTCAGACATTTAAAGGCGGACCTTTCTAAGGGAGCGGTTTAAAAAATAAAAAAAAATATGAATTTATAGCAAATCATCTGAAAATTATAGGCCTTCGATAACTATGAAAAATTTAAATCAAAGAATTTTGAAATTCGTATTTTGGCGGAATAGCGTACAGCGAACAGCGGACTTCGGACTTCAGACATTTAAAGGCGGACCTTTCTAAGGGAGCGGTTTAAAAAATAAAAAAAAAATATGAATTTATAGCAAATCATCTGAAAATTATAGGCCTTCGATAACTATGAAAAATTTAAATCAAAGAATTTTGAAATTCGTATTTTGATTGGTTTAATTAGAAAGTTTACAAAGAACTTATTTGTAAACATCGAACGGTCTCGAAATAACATATTTTAGAATGCATTATTAAATTGAAAAGTATCAAATGTGAACTACAAACAACTACTATCTCAGAAATTGAATTAAATTGTACAGACGCTTTATTTCAACTTCACATTCAATTTGTTTCTAATTTGCAAACTGAAGGTACAACTTTCGATCAATGGGATTTTTTTTTTAGATTTTGATCATTTGATAGTGAGAAAAAAAGCGTCTATATTGTCTAAAAACCTAATAATTTTTGTCCATATACAAAAAGTATGCAGTCATGATAAGTCTGTTTCTTTTCTTTTTTGTGGCCTGGTAGTTTCTATACCTTAAATAAATTCGAGTTTAGATTGAATTGTATATCTATATCCCTGCATGCACAAGTTTGGGTCATATATTACTTGTATTATACTTTTTCAATTCCAATTTGCATGGCCTTTTTTGTTGGAAAATGAATTGAGTAAAAAGCATGAACTTTGTGTAAACTTTAATTTAATATTTTACTGTATAAAAAACTGAGACTAAAGTAGCCTATTTTAAATACAGTGGACAATTGAAACCAACGCAAGTGAGTTAAGGCTAAATATGGATATTTCTATTCAAATGAGCTTTTAAATATTCATAAATTGTATATTTTGTGTGTACAGAGAAAGTTCAAATAGATTTTCTTACACATACTTAGTACCCACAGTTTATTAATGCAAGTGCACATTATGACGTCATATTATGACGTCATTGTTCCCTCCCATTCAAGGTTATGAATCATATCAATAAAATCACGTCGGCGCAAGGGCATATCCTATCTAATTCAAAATTAACTATGTATAATATTAAGGAGAATGTTGTTTAAATTAATAAAATTGCTGCACAAATCCTTTGCACTTCTCAGTCGATAAAAAATTTTAGGAAACTTACACTGGACTGTGATTTTTTACCCTGTTTAAACTTAAAACTGCACGAATAGTAACTAAACAATTACAGTGTCGACATTTGTGCAGCAATATCTTAAATCCTTTGAATATCCAGCGTCTTTTAATACCTTGTTTCTGTTAAACAAAATAAGGTATGCCCTTGCGCCGAAGCGATTTTGTTGATGTTTCTTTAAACTTGTGTAGTAGAGGTCGATGACGTCATAATATGACGTCATAATGTGTACTGGCTATCGCATTTCGTGGGTACAAAGAATGTATTAGAAAACAAGTCGTAACATTTTCTGTGCGGTAGGTAGAGCAATTATGGAATTTAAATAGATATTTGGCATATAAACCCCATATGTAGCCTTAACTCACTTGCGAAGTTTAAAGACATTAAATAAAAGCTGTCTCTCAAAGATATTTTTGTTGTACATTTTGTTGAATATTGAATAAAGGAGTTTTATGAAGAAACTTACTTTTACATTTGACAGCTGACTTTTACAATTTAGTAAGAACTCTCGTGCTTGCACTTTTTGATTAAAGGTAGGCACGAGGCATTTGAATTACCTGTGTTATCCTCTTAAAACAGAAGATAAACTGTAAAAGCTGTCTCCATATATGGTAAAAAACTCCAATAGAAATGTTAAAGATACTAAAAAACAGATGCCTCCTCCAGTTATTTGATAAAATATGTACTACATAGGCACGTCGATTTTGAAAATGTGTTTTTAGGGGAGGGGGGCAAATTACCTGGAAAGTTTTTTTGACAAACAGAAAAAGGAGAGTATTCTAAACTTGAAAATTTCATCATCAGGGAGGGGAGTGTATGTGCGGAAATGAAAAGGGGGGATAATTTCCGTCTTTTAGATACGTTTGCATAAGATAGTTTCACTGCCACAAGTACTGTACGAAAAATGTTATGCTTGTGGGAGAGTGGGATCAAGTAGCTTTTTAATGAACGTTTTATACCCTTATTTAAATTCGATATACATGACGGCACATCCTTTTCTCTTTTTTCGGAGGGGGTGGGGTGTGTTAAAACAGGCATATAAAAAACAATTTTTAAAACTGAAAAATCTTGAAAGTCAATCACCGGTATTATTAATAAAAATTAAAAAGTAAAGAAAACTTAAATAGAGAGAGAAGTAAATAAGAGAGAAAAGGAAAATACATTCATGCGAGTTCCGATTCCAAAGAGACTGACTGAAACATTAAAGTAATCCATGTGTTCCTCATTTCCTATTTATAAATGTCGAAGACGTATATTGTTTATTGAAAAGCATTATATCAAATGCCATTGCATTATCAATTCAAACGCAAAGGTGATTTATAAATTCTACACTTTGAGATGTCCCCCCTTATTTAAAGTACGAAGTCTGAAGTCTGTTGTCCAGTGTACACTATTTCGCAAATGTCCATTAAGATGTCATGTTGTGCTACATATATGTCATAATCTGTCCTCTTTTATTTGGAATGTTCTAAGCATTAAGTATAATGAACATATTAACAGATATATGTTTAGAGAATTATAGTTGAGTGAAAGGGGTAAAATTGCGAGAAAATATTTTAGAAAAAATATTTTGTTTATTATTCTTTTTTATTGGTAGAATATTTGAAATTTGTTTATATACATGTATATTATAGTACAGTACTATAGATAACGGCTTCTGTAGAGTAATCGGTAGCGCGTTGAACTGACAAT